GGGGAGAAAGGGGGCAGGGACAAAACAACCCAAAACCAAAATAAAATTGCCAAGTGATAAATTCTGAAATTGATTGTGAAAGCATTTACATGAGTAATGCTGCTTAAGGCCCTAAAACTGACTAAGTGCATAGTCCCCTTTATAAGCTTGAAGCTCTCTTAAACTGTGACAATACAGGAGAAAACCCATTCCCAACACTGTTTTTTCCTGCCCTGTTCACTTTCTCCTTCCACTTTTTCAAATCAGACTAGCAAAACTTCATTACATGATGCCTCCTATCAATGGGAGAACCAAGCTAACTTGGCTCAGAAGGAAGTTCTCCAAAAATGACACGAAGATGGATTTACAAGCTCTTGGAAACAAAATTCGTGGGCTGCTAAATTCATAGTCATACAAAACTAAACTGCAATTGTTTAATCATTTTAGCACATTTATTGGTCTTCAGGCAACTCTTTCTATAGAAAATGAGATTAGTTCCTTTTCCTCACACTCAGAAGCATTTTTCCAAATTGTGTGCTGAACACAGTGTAAGGAGACAGGTTTTGTCCCAGTTCTCCCTCCTCAGTGAGCAGAAGACAGGCAAACAGGTTACCACCTACCTATATTCAGGCAATCAAATATTTCCTAGGAAAATCCCCACAAACCTGCTGTATAGCAATACTGCTGGCCATCTGTTTGTCCATACTGTAAAACCCGAATGGGATGTTAGGAATTTCCTATTTATGTTTGTCCCTCCATCCTATTCAAAACAAATTTCTGACTGCTGCTTGCTCTATTTAATATTAACGGTACAGACTGCAAAAAGGGGGGAGGAAAAGCTAAGACATTGCAAAGATATTTAATTCCAATAATATATGCCAAGATCTTCACATGAGTACCAGCACCCTCCAACCAACAGCAAATGTTCCAGCACAGCATTTAGAAACACCAGGAATGCATTTCTTTAGAAATCCTAGAAGTTGTGAATGGCATTTTGTGCAAGCTCTAAGCTTTTTTACTTGCCTTGCAATACCCAAAATATATGTCAATTGTGTAACTTTTTTTAAGCAATATTCCCAAAATCTCTTCTGAAAAGTTAAATTTTCTCCTACAGGCATTCTCAGAACAGTCTTGCAAGTTCCATACACTATCTGGTGCTATGAATAACCATTCCCCAACTGCTTTGAATTCATTTTTAGTAATCATAGACCAAAAAAATATTAGAAGTCACCACTGAGCAGAAAGGTTGCCCTCTGAGGTATCAGATCCTTCCCAGAATATCGTATTAATCAAGAGAGACACTGGGAAGTCCAAAATAGTCTTATATTTGCACAGTCATGTACCTCAATTCTGACCATCTGTACCTGGCAATAGGAATTAGAAAATTCCCTGAATCTGTTCCAGCTATGCTGAATGTTGAATGTAGAGATACCAACAAGAAGAACTGTGACAGAAGACCTCTCTGTTTGGGTCCCAGCTCAAGCCAAATGCACGTAACAAACCAGAGAGACCATTTAGAAAACCAGGATTTCTCAACATTTAGGTATGGTGCCTCCTAAATTTACATGCTCACTTAAACTCAATTAAAAAGGCCAAAATGAATCCACCTACCTACCAAGGCCAGTGGTTCACAGGTTTCCTCAATTACGTAAGCCCAGCTAAATGCTAGACTGAAACATTTCATGAAACACTCTAATTCACGATGCAGACATTTGCCTCACTAATTTTCAAGCTCCAATTTCCACTATTATTTGTAATAGCAGGATAACAATATTTTCTGAATTGACATAACAAAGGATAGGCTGTGCCAGTAAAACACATTTTGGCAGCCTGTCTCTCCCTCTTGCCCTGCTAATTGGAGAATGCTTTCTTGGTCTGGTATTCTGCTTTCTCTCCTTGTCACCTTGAAAAATCCATATATTTTCTTTCATCTTGCCTGACAATTTATGAGAGGAAAGTGTCTTTCCCAGAGTTACCCGAAATAACTGAGAAGAAACATCCATTACATGAGTTCTGCAATCAAATTGCTGAAATCTTGACCATTGCTACATCTAACAAAGCCAACAGCATCCAGCAAGGGTGCCAGTTAACTGCTGGTATTCCTTTTCCTGCGGAGCACAGGCTTAGTGATCAGTGGCAACATCACAGACAACGCTTGCAAAGGGCAATACCTGGGTCCCCAGAAACTCTTTAGAGGCAATTCACAGGCTGTCGTCTGATTACACCAAAGCAGAATGTTTGGTATATTTCCTCTTTTTAGTATGTCACCTTCTACAGACGCATCCCTCACTGAATAGCATTAATATTTCCCTA